TGTGCAGGCTGAAGTCGTATCATTGAACTTCCGATCTCCGCTGGGACAAAACTGAACCAATTGAATGAAGTGTAGATAGTACTGAGTTCCTGGATAGAGCCCATCAATTTCAGTGGGGCCACTAAGGTGTAAATCCAGCGTTTTGTTCATTATTGGATTGGTAAGCGATGAGCTGGAAGAGACAATTACCAAACTTTCCCAGCTGTAGTAGTAAAAACTGATGAAGTTGATTGATATCGTCCAGCGGCTTTTTGCCTCGATTTGATGTAATACAACGGGTTGGCCTAGAAAAAGTTTGAAACCATGAAATTAATTTACCTGGGACATTTCTGAGGGCTCTCAGATTTAATGTAAATTCCCAGGTCCAGTCATCTTGAAAAATCTTGCCAAGATCCCGAAGATTCTTGAAGATTTATCAAAGATAGCCAAGAAAAGTTAAAACCATTCCGGCTTTCTCCAAGGTACCTAAGCGTCTAAACTACGTGAATACCACCTCAAAAACAAGTACGATCGCTCCGGCAGCTCAACGGAGGATTTTGGTTTTTCGTGCAATTTTGAAAAGATCTTCAAGATTCTTCAAGATTTTTAGAGATATCAAAGAAAAGTTCCTTAACTTTTTCGAAAAAAAATTGTAGCAAGTTAATGAGCAAACACTTAGTCAAGCTTCTTCGAAATTATTAGTCTAATTTTTAAGTGTTTTACAATTGAGTTTTCAAATCGAGAGCTCTGGACAGTTTTTAAATTTTTTTTTCAGAAAATTTTAGATTAATCTTCAAAAAGAAGGCCGATAGATTTTTTTAAAATCTTGGAAATTCCTGAATGTAAAATTGCCAATTTTCCTTGCAAATCGTCAAAAGACTTTTAAAAATCCTTGCTATATTTGTTTTCTTTTCTTCGAGATTCAAACTAAGTTGTGATTTTTTCAAAATGATGAATCGTACTTGTGCAGGCTGAAGTCGTATCATTGAACTTCCGATCTCCGCTGGGACAAAACTGAACCAATTGAATGAAGTGTAGATAGTACTGAGTTCCTGGATAGAGCCCATCAATTTCAGTGGGGCCACTAAGGTGTAAATCCAGCGTTTTGTTCATTATTGGATTGGTAAGCGATGAGCTGGAAGAGACAATTACCAAACTTTCCCAGCTGTAGTAGTAAAAACTGATGAAGTTGATTGATATCGTCCAGCGGCTTTTTGCCTCGATTTGATGTAATACAACGGGTTGGCCTAGAAAAAGTTTGAAACCATGAAATTAATTTACCTGGGACATTTCTGAGGGCTCTCAGATTTAATGTAAATTCCCAGGTCCAGTCATCTTGAAAAATCTTGCCAAGATCCCGAAGATTCTTGAAGATTTATCAAAGATAGCCAAGAAAAGTTAAAACCATTCCGGCTTTCTCCAAGGTACCTAAGCGTCTAAACTACGTGAATACCACCTCAAAAACAAGTACGATCGCTCCGGCAGCTCAACGGAGGATTTTGGTTTTTCGTGCAATTTTGAAAAGATCTTCAAGATTCTTCAAGATTTTTAGAGATATCAAAGAAAAGTTCCTTAATTTTTTCGAAAAAAAATTGTAGCAAGTTAATGAGCAAACACTTAGTCAAGCTTCTTCGAAATTATTAGTCTAATTTTTAAGTGTTTTACAATTGAGTTTTCAAATCGAGAGCTCTGGACAGTTTTTAAATTTTTTTTTCAGAAAATTTTAGATTAATCTTCAAAAAGAAGGCCGATAGATTTTTTTAAAATCTTGGAAATTCCTGAATGTAAAATTGCCAATTTTCCTTGCAAATCGTCAAAAGACTTTTAAAAATTCTTGCTATATTTGTTTTCTTTTCTTCGAGATTCTCTGAATTTTCTTGAAGAATCTTTGATATATTCCAAGATTCTTTGGCAAGAACTTGCCCGGACAGCCAAGGTTTTCTTTAAGATTTAACCAAGATTCTTCAAGATTTTTGAAAAAAATCTAAGATTGATGGACTTGGGTGTACTGTAAAATTGAGTGTGATGACGGGAAAAAAGATACCATGACATGACTGTGCAAAAAGAGCCACGAATAAAACTTAAACTGCCTCATTGATGTCGTATAAACCATCAAAAACAGTTCTTTCAAATCATTGATTCTAATTTAAACTATATTAAAATGTTCGTCGTAGTCATTAAAATCAACTTTGAGGAAAAGAGCGGAATATTTATTCGTCAGTGGGGTGGTTGTTTTTTATTCAGTCAAACGTTTTTATACATAGTTTCTGGAGCCTAATTTCAAAAAGATATTTCACCTCTTATTATTCGGTGGTATATAAACCATCCGAAGAGAAAAACCAGCGCCTTATAAACCAGCCGACAACACTTAATTGTTATGTAATAGCCCGCACTCAGTAAAAAGAGAAAGTAATCGATTATATGATAATTATAATCATACTTTCAGCAAAATTATAATTAAATAAAAGCGCCAATTTTAAATGTTTGAACGATTTATAAACCATTATAAAGATTACATTTGTGGTGACATTTTGAAAAATTATAATCAAATAAAAATAGTTATAAATTTTCCAAAAATTTTTTATAATCTCTTCTAATCTATTATACCAGATTATAATCCCTTTCTCTATCAAAAAATTATCTCACTAAAAATCAATTATAATGGATTAAAATTTAACTCTTCTGCATGAAAACACTATAGAGGTCCGAGGGCTTTCTCGAGGGATCAACAAAAATTCAAAAATCGTGTCGACCTTTTTTTTAAAGTCGATCAAATTGATTTACGGAGCTCTGTCAAAGCACCAAAGAGAAATTGTTTTGGCCAAAATGTTTGCGCCGCAGGCAACATTTTGAGAAAAAACCCGCCAAAAAAGACTTTTTAGGCGTTTTTTGATAAACTTTATCAAAAAATCGCGTTTTTTTGGCGCGCTCCCCTCAAAATTAGTGTATATTGGCGCCAAGGGCGACTTCAGAAATATTCTAAGGTTACACACCAAAAATTGATATCTGCGGGTCGGCAGGGGATCGAATATCCAAGGAGAGACGCCCCCTCCCCCTAAATCCGACCCTAGCTAAAAGTACAATTTTACAGTTTGTTTAAGTTCGGTAGCCATCTCAAAATCAAAAAAAAAAAACAGAAATAAAACAAAATGAAGCAATGACGTTTGTTAAAAAATAATGGATTCTAATCCGTTATAATAAAAAATATTTCAATTAAACTTGAAAAAAAACTTTCGAAAAATAATTGATTAAAATGTGTTTGATTGGTTGGAAAAATGGTAACATTATAATCCAGTTTTAACCAATTATACGCCATTCTTTTTGGAATTTATGGATACTAACTATAAAAACACCACATCATAATCTACTTTTTTTCTTTTTACTGAGAGCAAGAGTTTTGATTAAAATTTGATAATTGATTACGCAAATTTGTTTATACAAGTTTGATTCATTTGACGTAGATTTTTGGTTGGATCATACTTCAGCTGGTTTACTTAAACTCGATAATTTTTCGTACAGATGGGAGTTTGAAAATTGCTATTTTGGGGTAATTGGATATTTTGCGTAATTGATCTTAAAGGCTTGATAGTTGCTCTTATTATTATGTTGCAAGAGACTTATCGCATCTCTCTCTAGTTTAGATTAGCGTGTGGGGGATAAGTAGGAGAAAAAATTTAAAAAATCATTTCGGTTTTCTCGCAAATAAATCGTCAACTTTTGAACTGATTTTTTTAATGGATCTAAAAATGGTGTAGGAACATTTATGGCTTCGCCCTGATATACGGCATGGCGACAACTCGTCGCAAGTGACTACTCGTAGAATTTGTAGAAAGCGACTATTTGCAGCACGCGATGACTCGTGGCAAGCGACAATTAGTAGTGGTAAAAGCTTTGATCAGATCAAAAAAATTAAGATTAAACTAATAAATTAAAGAACGAAGCAAATAAAATCAAAATTGACTTGAGGCCTTTAAATTGTTTAAAAATATTATTTTTGCTTTAATGTTTAAGCAGTTCGACTAATCTGTTTCGGTTTTTTTGTGTTTTGCCACCTGGGCGGCACTTTCTCCGGCATTTACTTTCATCAATTTATTCTCCGACATAATTCGTTCTTTTCTCAGGAATTTGATGAATTTTTAAATGATAGGGAAAGCACGTAATCCAGTAAGAGGGAAAAATCACATTTTTCGGAAACTTTAGAACATAAAACTGCCATGCCGAGTTCGAAGTAAAGCTCAGGTATTAGTGCCAGAGAAATAACTGACTTTCAAGGCATGGGCGTTTTTTTATTGGTAAACTAGTGCTAATCCGATCTCATAAAAATTGCCCCAATTGGCCTGAGCAAAAACAAAGAAGCAACGTTTTATAGTTACTCCCTTGAACACCTTTTGAGTGGCCTTAATTGAAGCCATATCAAAATCTACCACAATCTGTGAGGGATCAAGTCCTCGATTGTTTTTTTTTTCAGTTGTCCGTAGGCCCGGTTATATTGCTCTTCACTTTTGCTTTGAAGCAGAAAGAAGACTAATGGAGCAGTTTGATCATTAACCACCGCATGAATTGTGAACGTTTGATAAAATAACGCGCTGTGGTATTTCAGATATGGTGCTTAATTATGAAATTTATTGGCTCGCTTGATTTTAATCCCCCACAACCCTAATTCGCGTCGTTTGGTAATTACCCGAATCAGCCATTAATCGTTCTGCAATTTTCCGCTTGCAACGAATTGACACTTGGTGCGAATTGTCGCCTTTTGAAAATGCTGCGAAACGTCGTTTGTGACCAAACGTCCCTTGCGAAGAATTGTCTCCTCACGCTGATAAACGAGTAGTCGTTTATAATTCTAAACCACAAAGCGTTGGCATTTCAAAAAAGCATAAGTTCAGCCAATAAAACTCAAATGAATTCACAACTTCAATACGGCGCCAAATTGTTACAGCACAAAAACTGCGGGATCGACCAATCATGGAACCCGCTGATCTTTTTAATAGCGTGAAAATTAGAAACAGGTGGCATGCCGCAATTTCCGCATCTGACGTGGAATTAAACTAGAAATAGTTTCATGCAAAAAAGGAAACTTGCGGTTTGTTGTGGAATACAATTACTGGCAAATTTTGTTGCTGAATCCGCAAATTGACCATTTTGAATTTAATCCCGTATTCCACCAATTCTCTGAAAAATTTTTTTGTTTAACAGGTTGGAAGGCTAATAGTTCAACAGAAACTTTGGCAACTAGAACAGCCTTTTCCGACCACACTAAAATTATCATAAATGTTTGTGAGTGGTTTGATGTGGCAACTATACGAATGCGAAGAACGTTTGTGAATTAGACATACTTGACAACAGATGTCTTCAATAAACTTTTAAAAAACAAAAAAATTGAAGAAAAAAAACAGCAAAAATTTTTATTGCCAAAAATTACTAAAATAAGCTTCCAAATTTAATTTAGATAGTTCAAAAATAGACTACATTTTTTTAATACTTGAAAAAAAAATTGGTCTCTAAAAAGCCTACCCGCTGAAAGTCAGACTAAAACTCCTAGTTTTTGTCGATATTGGGACACTTGTTTGAAAAAATTTACAGTTGCTTGAATCACGACCGGAATGGCTTTCATATGATATATCATCCTATTCATGCTGATGGTTAATTGCTTTATCTGGTTATGCATGGAGAACAAAAAATTAAATCACAAGCCCAGATAATAGAGTGCAAAATTAGTATGGGGACAAAAGTTACTAAGCAAAAACAATGCCGAAAGTGTCTGAGCAAAAACTTATCATGCCAAAAAACTTCAAAAACCAAAAAAATTTTCGCTCATCATACTGGCCATGAAAACAAAACTTGAAGTTTCTCTACTGAACATCTACTCGACTTTTTGCTGATAAACCCTTTCGATCAGCAAGGGTTTTATAATCAGCTACTTGAATTTTTCCCGTAAGCAACTGTTTTAACAGGACTCATCTGCTAGACTCATAAATCTAATGAGTTTTTTGTTGCAGCAGACATTTTTCGAGCACGCTGTTAGCATTTTAAAGAACTGGCTTTTTAAATTTTACTTTTAATTTGATAAAAATTGTAACCAACTCGGATTTTTGAAATCTCCTTTAACTTTTCTCCTTTTTGTGTTTTTCTTAGAATGAAAACAATTGAAACATTTCAACACATCTCAACAGGAAATTTTTGCCTCAATAGATGGGGGAAAAATTTTTTGTGAAAGTGTGTGTGTTCTGAAAGGAAAGACTTAAAAATTGTTTGAAGTTTTTTTCAAAAAAGGAATAAAGTGGCGATCACTGATTGCAAATCTTTACGCAAATCTAAAATTGAGCTACAATGCCCAAAAAGAAAAAAATTGGAAAATAAGTTTTTTCTTGAATGCATAAGTTTATCTTGAAAATAACAGCTTGCTCAAAGAGTTTGTCTTTAAGGCGGAAACTAGGAAAAGGAGTAAGTAAATCAGGTATTTGTACCCTAAAATTTGCAGCACGATTATCTAAAAGCAATCAGCAGACGGATCCGAAGAAAAAATTATTGCCATGAGTAGTGAGCTGCTCTCAAAAAACTGAGCAAAAAAAGTCTTGAAAGGACGGCTAAATCGTGCCCAAAACATTTGCTCTAATTTTCCAACTTAGGCGCGTACTTGAAATTGTAGGCATTTATATGACAGCGAACTATATGCATAAGAAATTCATTTTGTTCAGTGAACAGTGGAGACGGTTCAAACCTGTCCAAAAATTCATTTAATAGTAGTAACGAATCCTTTCTTCCAAGAAATGAGCCCCAAAATAGGCGATGTCCCAAAAAAATGTCTGGGGGTATTTTGCTCAAAAATTTGTAGATAAAACACTGGAAAACAACAAAAATTTTCAATTTTCACTGATGTGACTGAACCGAAGCAGATGTTTGCCCTTAGTTGATCCTCATGGATTCAACGAAATTCTTGATGGCAAAAAACGTTGCAAGTTATTTAAGTGAAACCATTGCATCTTTAGATGTCCAAAATCATTGCAAATTTTGGGCAATTATTGTGGGCCATTGAAACCACAGATTTTTTCTTTAAAAAAGCAAAAAGGGCTTCAAAAAGTGAAAAATAGCATAAACATAGCCAACAGACAGTTGGAAAAGAGTCAATGAACGCAAGTAAGCGAAAAAGTTTCTGACGATTCAAACAAAATCTCAATTTTCGAATTTCGAAGAACAAAATAGATGACCTAACAGCTCTTTGAATTTATAAAAAGAATAATGATATATACTATTTGATACACTTAACTCAGCTGACAAAACTGGGTCAAGGTATAAAAAAACTTCCATGGACATCTGAAAATTAAATTCCATTTTCGAAAATAGAAATCGATCACATTTTTCGTGACTTTTACACTTTTGTGTTCGATACTGGACTTTTGCTTCCTTTAAACAAAAAATGAACTGAATTTTAAAAAATCAAATATCAAACCTCGAAAAAGTAAATTTCAGCCTGAACAAATAATGAAAATTTCCTGAAAAAAAAAACAAAAACAAACTTTTCTTTAACCGAAAAAAATTCCTCGCAATGTTCATAAGAGTATAAACTATTTTCATCGATTCTTAATAGTAATCTCAAAACAAATTAATCAAAGCAAATGAAAAATCAGCCATTCGCCACCAAAAATTTTGTGCAAGTGCTTGTTTTAGAGCCATCAAAAATAAGATTGAGCTATTTGAACGAGCATCTTCTAATTCTGATTGCCCAACAGTACCATGTTACAACTTAGTAGGTCTGGATGAAGCGTGGAGAGAAATCCTTAATGAAATGAACACTTTAGAATTTTGGTAGCAGTAAACTTCGTAAAAATTGACCCTAGAATTTTTAAGGAAAAAACACATCTGACAACCGCTTTGTTTGAAACGCGGAAGTACTCATCAATTACGTTATACGGAATGCGAAAATGTATCTCAAATTTTGAAAATCAACAAAAAATGGCGTTTTCTCAAACAAATTTTGTTTTAGTAAAAAAAATACTATAAAAATATACTACGCCAAAATAAAAAAATACTACGACGAGAGAGCCGATACGTGAGCGTTTTCTAGGAACTAAGGAATTACGATACTGATGCGGAAAGTCGCTTTTATTAAACAGTCGCTCTTAAATGATTCAATCAAAAGTTGGACACTTACTGTTGCACCCAGCTGAAACGTCTAAAAGAGAACCACGGGAGAATACTGCTCCCACTGGACCACAATCTGTTAATCCAACATCTCCGCCTATTTGCAACCATACATAAATTTCATAATTCACTCCGTAAGTGAGTCCATCGAATGTGTATGCAGACTGAGATGAGTTTAATGAAATTTCTTTCAAATATTAATAGTATAGTAAAAGTGGCTAGGAAAATGACCACTTTTAACCCCCCTTTTTTCGGTGTGCCGTTGTACTAACCACTTTTAAACCCCAATAGGAGTTAAGGCTCTTTTCCAGTTCCCCTCCCCCTTTCAAATTTAATTTTGAAAAGCTTATTTAACGTTGTCCTAATGCAATGAAATTTGGCAAGGTGAACAAATCGACAACTGTGAACAGATTTGTTTTTCATACTTTACAGCGTAACATCACGCGTTTAGCCGTAATAACACGTAAATCAAACATAAAACTCGGTATTTTGAAAGGGAGAAACTGGAAAAGAGCCGGGGTTAAAGCTCCTACTTTTTCGGGCACACATGTTTTAAGGGGATTAAAATTGGTAATTTTCCAGCCATTTTATAGAAACGGGAATGGAATTAAGTTTTGGTTGGTGCATGTTTTCCGTTCTAAAGTTTGTGGGTATAGGTTTGTTTACAAGTAAAATGACGTTATATACCTATTATATGCAACCAAACTATATGGGCTCTTTTTCCTTTCCCCCCCACCTGCAAATTTTTCAATTTGAAATTACTGTTCACTTTATTCGATTGTCATGAAAATTGACATGCAGACTAATTAGGCCATGACAAACATATTTGGTATTCATAATTAACCTTGTAAAACAACTCGTTAGACTATAAAATTCATGTTTGTGTGAGGTGGGGGGGGAAGGAAAAAGAGCCACTATATGTTATTTGGAAAGCACAAGATTTTGACAGCGTATTTTAACTGTTAGCAGTAACTGTTGCTGTAGTCCAAATAATAGAATCCATCGAAATAAAATATAACAAGAAAAGGGGATGTTGAAGAAGGTGACTAAAAACATAATATGATAAAAAACCTCTTCTTTATAAGAAGAGGTGGGAATAGATGGACATTGCTGGGCTGTCCATCAGCCCCAGCAGATCAGCAGCCCTGTGCCCAATCCAACCCCCGAGGGCGACCACGTCCCTGAGTTGCTCAGTGAGGAGTTCCCACTCGGGCGACCCATGGACGAAAGTCCGGGGAAGGGGTTTCCCCTTGGCCCACTGGCGCGGTTTGGGCCAGAGCTCCTATACTACTACGGCCTCAGGATCGGGCCCAGCCTTATAACGGACGTGAATTTCTTCAATTGGATTGTTTATGAGCACTGGTCCCCCGAAAGGGACTTTTACAGTTTCGACGTATGATGGCATCTAAAACAAGCAAATAAACATTTTAAATCACAGGAAATTGTTCATTAAATTAAAATTTTTGGAACAGTATGTTTCGGAAGGTCATAATTGTGCTAAACTTTCCCTAAATTTTCCCCGACATTAAAATACGCTCATACCGAAAACACAGACAGAAGAAATTGTACTTTTAGCTGCGTGTTACTTTCAACCAGTTTAGAAATTTTGAATTTGATTTGGAAACAAAAACTTGTAAAAACAATTGATTTGTCGAATGCTACTTCTGAAACTGATTTGATTCTTGTTTGAATTTGACGCTAATCTGATTGAAAGAAAAAAAACGCAGACTGAAAATATATGTTTACTAATATGTTAAAAATATATGAAAAAGGCTGATGGTCCAATTAAATGTATATCACCGAGTTGTAGATATCAGCTGTTGGTATCTAACAGGTTACTTTTATTTCCACTGTTTTGAAATTCAGCAGGCTCAAAGAGTGTTGGAAAAAAAGAAATTAGAAAAACGTAGAGTTACCTCAACAGACTTGGAAATCATTCATGAGATTTATTTGGCTGTGAAAAAACCTATCCGGAAAATTCTGACCGTCAAAAATACTTTCTGGCTGCATGTTCTCTGTATTTCTTTTCCACGGAAAATGATTTAAGTTATGTCGTAGCTAATAAACTTTGGCCAATTGGAGGTCTTATTGGCATAGACGACTCTTCCTTGGACAAATATTTAAAAGATTCAAAAATACTACGTCTGCATGCAATTTTACATGACGCTGCAGGTTTTGTTGACGAAGTTTACAACATGGGTTCCACTTACTACTATATGTTACCCTGGAAGTGTAACAACAGTCTGATTGGTCATTTGGGCGGTATTACTTTCTGTTTTTTCGTCAAACTAAACAGACCAGAACTCTATCAATTATTAGAATGTTGAGCGAAGGATCAGTCGTGATAGATTTGAAAGGATTTCGCTATAAAAAAGTACCTTTACTGTTAAAGAATTAGCCATTACGACTTCTGAATATATCGTCTCTCTTATTTTTCTACCTCCAGTTCTTTTCAACTCAAAGTACCCAAAGCTGAACAAAAAGCGTTCAACTGGTTAACACATTACTTGCACGGAATTCACTGGGAAAGCGGAGACTATTTATATTTAAACCAAAATCAGAGTATTCAAAGTTTTGTTTTGAGAAATCCTAACGCTTTATTTTACGCCAAAGGAAAAAAGAAGGCTGAACTCCTTGCAAAGTACTTGAATTGAGAAGTTGTGAATCTTGATGAATTGGGTTGCACATGAATTGAAAAGATACATTTAAAGAATTAACCATCTTGCAGTAGACATTCACCTAATTACAACTCTAGGAGTCACTGTGCCCTGAAAAAAACGAAGATCTTTTTTGATTGGCTGACAAATGAGCAACAACGAAAGACTAGCAAAAGCGGAGACGTACCTATCTCCAAATTTAGTGTTCTTGGCTTGGATGACACCAGAGAGTAATATCAAAGTAAATTTGACCAGAACAGAACAAATCAATTGCAGAGGTCAAGCTGTGCAGCGGAAAGAACAAATTACTCTAGCAGGAGACAAATTGACTATTTGATAATTTTTTCCCAGTGATTGACCAATTCATCTTTTTTCAACGATACAAGTATTGTCAAAATGTTAGCCAACAAACGAGGAGAATGTCCTCCCAGACTAGTCGTAGTGCCCAAACGTCAACCCGGAATTCAAATGGATCTTCAAAGCAGTGACCTACCTGAGGAAGTTCAGAAACTAGTAAAAGAGAACTCTGTAAAGAAAGTTGTATTTCATGCAAAAACTGAGTATGTGACAGCCAATTATGTGGTAGGAATGCATGACATTGACAATGACATAACTAATGACTCTACAAGTTATACTCGATACGAGATTTTTTATTGTTCTGAAGTATAGATAATACATATTTTATGACAAAAACACATTTTTTTATAATTAGAAAGAACCAGATAGAGAGAAATATAAATCGAACAGCTGAAGGTCTGAATTAGCGGTTGATGAGCCTGATGCTACTATATTTACCAATTCTGCTCATGATCAAACAAATACTGAACAAAAATCTTACAGTCCCTAGATCAGAAGTAGTTTTTTTGTTTCAAATGATTTTAATTTTCATTTTACTTTTTTTCGTATCTATAAACTTTCTTGGACGCAAATAAGCTGTGAAGAAACGTCAGTTTGGTTTTCAAAATTGTCTGGTTTAGTTGGGTACGTGCTACCAAACCCAAGGATATGAATAAAACTATTGATATGTCGACAAGTTTGTTTATGGCAGTTGTAGGACCGTCAGGATCCGGAAAAACAGAGTTGATTTTCAAACTTTTGCCAAGAAGAATATTTTATCCCAAATTTGAAAAAGTGTTGATTTTTTACAAAGATATTCAACCTGTAGTTATGGACAAGTTAAACGCTCGCAGAATTCATATTGAATTTGTAAAAATTGACGGATTCGATCGTTTGAGAGACATTGAAAACATTCTGTTAGTGTTTCATGACTCATGCAAAAAAATTTACAATGATAAAGAATTCGTTAAACTAGCAACAGCAGGAAGACGAGGGGCTTAGATGTTATCTATGTTAAACATAATTTATTCCAATAAAGCCAATGGCCACGAACTATTGATTTGAACACATCTCACATCAATTTATCCAAATCACCTCGTGATATTCAGCAACTTGATCACATCGAAAGGCAACTCAATGCACCTAAATTCTTACCTCATTCGTCTGAACTGGCTACAAATGACAGCTTCGGACATCTGTTAAAAGAATTAGATCCCCGAACATCAGACTGTCTCAGATACTGTTCAAACATAATACCAACTGGTCTGTCAATTTTCTACCTACCAATAGATAAAGCAGAAGTGACACCCATCACAAATGAACGCGAAAAATTTATTTATTCTGCAGCACATGGTACAGTTGAGCCCAACTCAACTACAAGGCTTCATTAGAAAAAAACATCAAATAGTCAAATCACATCAGTTCTTTGTGAAAGCTTGCTCAATGTAGTCAACGGTAATGTGCCTGTCAGTATCCCAAACCTCAATAAATTCGAAAGAGCATACAAAATTTTAATCAATCCAAAAACGAGTCCTGAAAAAAACGAGCTGTTACACTGAGCAAACAAGGATTTTATCTAATCAGACATATACTTCATTTTTGCTTCAAGTATTTGACTGCATAGAAATGGCGGCAGAAAAATTTGTTCTATTTCCAAAGCATATGTATATCAGAGATCAACCACATGCAGCACAGATTTTGCTTGACAACTCCATCAAACACAAGAAACCGCAACTATCATACTTGAAACATTTGAGACCACTGAATGAATCAGCAAGAACAACAACAACAACAACATCAGCTAATGGTCCGACAGCAGTCATACCCCCCACCCCCGAACCACCTATCGTTGCCAAAGCAGAAAAAAATCCACAAAAACAAGCTCTCCTTCTCACTTCTCAAGATGATGATGATGATGATGATGATTATGATGATAATGATGAAGGTAACGAGATGAAAAAAAAGTGTTGAGCTTAGCGAGGCATTATCCACAGAACGTATCCTGTTACAATTACAGCTCATGGATGAACACAAACTTAAGCGAGCGAAAAAAGTTCTTGAAGTCATTAAAAAGTCAGTTAGAGTCAAAATAAACAAAGATAATGAAGAAATTTACGTTGATAAAGTGCCAATCGGTCTTAAAGCATCAGTACACTTGTATGATATACAACAACAAACTAAAAAACTTTATAACCCCGCTTTTATACTGATTTTGAGGTCACTCAAACATGATGAACGGTTGGTTATGAACAAAAATGCCAAAGTCGCGGTTCAGTCAACGGATACGGAACAAGCTCAACAGAAGCAAAGGAGCAGAGGTTCCACAAATTCCCCTTTAAAATCTACAGCCCTGTTCCTCCTTTCTCCCGAGAAACCGTCATCATCAACAAGTTCCAGCTCAAAAATCAGTAAAAGACGCAAAACCAGAAAGACTTTTGCAGACAGTGAAAGAGAACGGACAGCGCAAAAAAACCAAACGAAAAGAAGGAGCAGCAGAAGAAGAAGACTCCGAGTCGTACGAAACGCCCGATAACGATTCAGATTCTGCAACGACAGAGAAGAAGAAGACAAAAACAAAAAAATGACAAGATTACACCAGCTGAAGAAAAAATATTGAAAACTAGGTCCAGCATTGTTTGGCAGTGTACAGAATTTAAAAGTGGCCTTAATTTACAGGTTTAAATTCAAAAATTTCACAAGTAAGAAGAAACGTTTTTTACATATAGAGATAGCATATACAAATTATCGAACAGTTCGTCCCAAAACACCACGCACGCCTCAAAGTGATAAATTATGACAAAGACGAAATATGGTCAATCGACCTGGCTTATGTTGATTAACTTGCAGATTACAACAAAAACATTGAGTATCTTACGGTTGCAGTGGATTGCATGTCCCGCTTTCTACGTGTGCAGCCATTGAAATCAATGTGACATTCGACCAGAATGGACGAAAATGCAATTTCGAAGTAGTAGTCGCTGATCTAGAGAGTTGACAGTTATAGAAGTTTAGCAACGTTATTTGAACGATTAGACGAATCGTGAAGGTCAGAAGACTCTGGACTTTTTAAATTTTAAAAATTCGATTTGTGACGTCACATTTTCGAGAAATGTTGAAACAGCCATTTTTAGAAGAAAATCAGAAAAAACACAACATTGATAGTTGCGATAGAAATAACGACGAGAAATAAAGATAGACAACAGAGAATTATCAGAGACCGCTCCGAAATGTGACGATTGTGTGGCTACAATCGTTACAGAGCAGTTCACGCAAACGGTGAAGGGTGGTGGAACAGTGAGTCCAGCTTTCCGGAAAGGAAATAAGAGTGTTATTTCCCCGGATTCAGGAATCTGTAGTTGTCTCGAGACCTGAACTTAAACTGTATTATTAGAATTTTTAGCTTCCTGGGCATGCCCTGAGTTGAATTTAATTAAAATCCAGATTCATTTTCAGATAATGAGAAGCTAGGAGTTGAGGGAAAAGGTTGATCCATTTTTGATGCAGATGATGATTTTTATCTACTGAACAAAACACTAGTAATATAATAAATAGTAGTAGCCCTGTTTTTAGGAGTGACCTCGTGGTGTGGGAATACTGAGACCCAGCCATGAGCTCACTATTTTTGCTTGATTTGAGCGTTCTGGTCGGGTCGAAGCCGGAGAACAGTGACGTTTTTGTCGAACCGATGTTAGGAAGACCACTAAAAGAACTGGCTTTGGTAGAGACCGTGAAAAGCATGTAGAGCTTTGTTTAGACGCTGGCCTGTCGTTTTATAGCTTAGATTTATTTTCCGTCGATTTGTAGTTCCGGGCGAATGTTACACAAAGTTGGCCATCTCAACTGCGAGAGCATTCAAAGAAATGACAAAAACAAAACAGCCAAAAAAAGTCTGAGTAGATAAAGGCACAGAGTTCAAGGAGTCATTCAGAACTTTATGTGAGGAAAATGACATCGAAACATATACAACAGAGAGTGAAAAAAAATCCGCTTTCGCGGAGAGGAACATTCTATAACTAAAGGGTTTGATTTATAAGTATTTGGAGGACAATTGGACCTACTCATACATCGATAAGCTTCAAGATTTTGTCAACACAATTAACTCGAGAACAAAACGCGTTACCAAAATTGCCCCGATTGAAGTTACCAAAAAGGACGTTCGACGTCTCATTTCGTTAATAGTGGAACAATTGCAGAAACTAGTACGCCAACCAAAGCTCTACGTTGGTGATTTTGTTAGAATAAAAATTTTACATGTTCCAGTTCCATTACAACATAATCAAGAAAAATTTCGACGCAACTCTTTTATGTTCGGACACTGATTCGTTTCTGTATGAAATCCGTAGCAAAGACCTCCACAATGAAATTGAGAAAAACCATGAACTGCGAAATCATTTTGACTTTTCAAATCAACCAGCCACCCACCCCCTCTACACCAACGAGAATTTGCGCGTTACCCCCAAACTCAAGGACGAGTTTGCTGGGGAGATCATACAGGAGTACGTCAGACTAAAGCCCAAACTGTACAGCTATATTTCTCCCAGTAAGTTTCTTTATTTTTCTTTCAGTTTGCAGTTACCATTTTAGAAAAGCGCAACAAAAACAAATCATAAGATTATGTAGTCAGGGGTGGGGGGAAGGGAGGTATTTATGTGGAAACAGGAAAAAAACTGTTAAAAATTTGAAGTAAAGGATTGTATTTTCTTTTTAACCTCTCATAAGAAAAGCGCCAAAGGCTATTCAAAATATACGACAAGGGAGCAAACCCATAATGAAAACAAACAAATTTTGACTTAATGTTCAGTGGTCCGTTCGGAAAATGTGAGGGTAAATTCCTGTAATCACAATTTACAAACCATAATAACGAACAAAGTTTCCCTGAGCGCATTTGACAATAAGCGCTATATATATGCAGACAGAGTAACTACTAGTCCTTTCGGATATAAACGTTTGCGCGAGGATATGTTCATAAGAGAAATTGGGCGCAACATGGACTGGGGCGAATACGACGTAGACGTCACTCTCACCGATAACGGAAGGGAGGATTTGGCTGAAGCTATAGAAGCGCAGGGGGGCTATTACATGTATCTTTTTACGCCACCAGATATGGGTTTCAACCAACCCACATACGCTGATCAAGAGTTAGAACAGGATTTGGTAGATTTCGACCAGCTAAGTGGGCAAACAGAGTCAGAACCAGCGGCGTACAACTGCCCCTATTTGGACCTTGAAGCTCGAGAAGAAAACGATCGGGAAGAAATTAGACCAACTAAACGGCGGTGCTTAAATCGACGTGCTACTATATTAGACGATTCTGACTAAGTTCTGATTATAAATGTAAATGATTGGCTTTATAGTACTTTTCATTCAGGAAAAAAAAGCTTTTCAAAATTGTTCTTTTGACCGAAAAGTGAAATAATCATTTCTAATCGCGAGGGGGTATTCAAAAAAAACAATATAAACCTACCAATATCACAGCATTTTATTTAATTCCACACGTGGCGATAAAGATTACAAAACAATCCACAATATAACGCGCGCAGTAAAGTTTGAACTGCCAAAGTCAAGGGAAAACATGCACCAACCAAAACTTAATTATATTCCCGTTTCCATAAAGTGGCTGGAAAATTACCAATTTTAACCCACCTCAAAACATGTGTGCCCGAAAAAAAAGGAGCTTTAGCCCAATTGGGGGTTAAAAGTGGTAAGTACAACGGCACACCGAAAAAAAAGGGGGGTTAAAAGTGGTCATTTCCTAGCCACTTTTACTATGCTACTAATAATAACCCCTAAAAGTTCCGTTAAAAAAACTAAAGATCTCCAGTTTCCAGTCGTCGAACAGATAAGAAGGGGTGTGCAATGTAACTGTTACACTCGTCTCATAACTCTCCCAAGTCACATTCGGTTGAGGGGGTGCTAAAATACAACCCAGGTGTTTTACACTCAGAGCACCACAAATGAAGTAGATACAAACCACACCCGAAAATGGTGAAATTAAGAATTGCATCTTTTGTTAGTCACTTGCAAATAAATATGTACTATACCGCGTAGTAATTTTGCTTAATGGTAAGTATTCCACATGTAATAATACTCCCTTAAATAGATGCGGATCCAGGATTTTCTCGAGGGGGGGGGGTATTTTCAAAAAAAAAACTTCAAAACCTTGTCGACCCCTTTTTATTAGGTCGATCAAATTGATTTTCCGAGCTCTCCCAAAGCACCAAAAAGACCTTGTTTTGGCCATTATTTTGCGCCGCAGGCAAAGTTTTGTAAAAAAAAAAAACAGGTCAAAAAAGGCGTTTATAGGCACTTTTTGTAAACACTTGATCAAAAAATCGCGTTTTTTTCGGCTCGAACTCCCCCCTCAAAATTAGTATATAATGGATCTGAAGCAGCTTTTAGAAAAAATGTTCGTCAGCCAAAAAGGGATATCTCAAAGTAGTACAAAGGGGGACCCTTTGGGTCGGCAGGTGGTCGAATCCCTGAGGGAGAAGCGCCCCCCCCCCCCCGCTTCTGCAATATAGGGTTTTCTCGGTTATAAACCCGTAAACGAAAACTTCACTGCTCAAACTTTGAAAGCGAACCGCGGATGAACAAAATTTTGCTTTCACCCCTCTAAACCAGGCTGTTATCCCGTGGCATTGACTCAAAACCTTAAAAACTACAAAACAAACGCAAAATATAAGACGCGAAACCAGGTGTCTATTCGATTGTAATGTACATAGCCGTATAAAAACGGGCATATGCTTTACATATAGCTGTATGTATAAGTTGGGATAGCGATTGAACTATTTGATGCCTTTCAACGATCTAGAAAATTTGGACAAAACTTTTTAGTCGGATAAAAAAAACAGATCTGATCAGCTAAACCAGAGCAGAGCCAAATGATTTGCTGGGAACAATTCAAATCAATTTTTTTGGCGTTTATCTTCCGTACAAAGTTGACATGTCACAGAAATATTCGATGCGGGTCGAAACAGTGTCTTTTTTGAGTGATCACACCTGATAGAAATGCGATATTTCCTCTCATCGATAAAAAAAACCTTTAATAAATAACTCACCTGTACACGCCACAAACTGTACCACTTCGCTCTCCAGTGGATCAGAGGGTGCAGTCTTGCATGGAGTAGCATAACTCCCATTTCCACCCAGGGTAGACACTACCGACACTGTGTATCTGGTTGAAGCTGTCAAATTCCGAATATAGATATCGGATGAGTAGTAATCAGATGTATTTGGATTGAAGGGCGTGTTTGGGGCAGGGTGCACTGATAACACTTTGAACTCGTCACTTCTCTCGCCTGAAGGTGATGATATAAAGGGAGGTACCATTATTAGAGTTGTGTCGTCGTAAGCAGCCAGTGCCCAACTGTAATCCATATTCGGAGGCGACGGAACTTGAACAATGGAAGACAGTCAATCACAAAATTTTACAAAACATACCTACTTTTTAAGAACAAAATTAATGTATTAGCCATTAAGAATATAAAAATCATAACAAAAAACCAATTACCCGACAAACTCTTATGATAAGTATTTTGCCTTTCAAAAGACAGGCGGGAAGTTTGAATAAATAATCAAGATCAACAAAATTCTCGAATCAATTCCGAAAAATGTATAACTTTTGAAGTATGATGAGTGCGATTGCTTTAGGTTTTGACATGAAAGTTTGGAAGAGAAATGTGTCATGCACGTGTATGTTTTGTTTCAGTGGGGTGCAATGAATTTCCATGATTATGAGATTTAGTTTTAATGTTAAGACCATAAGTCATGCAATTTTTTCTCAAAGAAACACAGGCCAAAATGACATTCTGCTGCATTTAAGGAAAACTTTGACAAAAATTTTCTGTCTGTTTTTTTTTCGGCGAGCACTCCCCAACAGTTTAGTAAAGTTAGTGCAAAAGGCGCCATTATATAACCTATAGGGTTGGTCAGAATTGTATAAATTTGAATGCCTTGTTTTCTATTAAGCCAATTTAATAATGATTGTTTCGGCAATCTAAGTAAAAAGGAAAGTGTTCTAGGTGATATAATTGGTTATCATCAGAGTCAATTGGACTGCATATTCACAATCTTATTGTGGTGATGTTTCGTTTTAAATGAGAAAGAGTTTTATAATTCGTGGTATTTCTTCAGTTGTTTTTCGTGAAAGTAGTTCTGGTGGTGTATTGCTACTACGTGTGTCTCGGCAAGGTTTTGGCCGGCTGTAAATTTTTGTGTAATTTCGGAAATTTTATTCGAATTAGTTGAAATCTATATACTTTATACTTGGGGTTAAATTTTTGTAAAAAAAAAGAAATTTATGGGCTTATGATCTGTAATTAAAACAGTTGGACGTGTTGATCCAAGGATTAAAAAATCTTTTTCTGTTCATGTATAAGTTATAGCTGTACTTTCTCTCATAAGTGTTTTAGTTTCTTTTTGTTTGTGATTTGATGTAATTGTAAAAAAGCTGCGCCAATTCCAATATTAAATGCGTCGCACAATGCATAAAACAGTTGTTTTGGATCTGGGATACTGTTTTAAATTTGTGCAGTTAGAACTGTTTAAGTTTCATCTAAATGTTTTCGTTGTTACATGGACCATTCAAAATTGTTTTGTTATGGTAATATTTTGTACAAATGTCTGAGATATACTTGCACTTTTTCAACATAATTGCTTCAGAAGTTTCACATTCCAAAGAATTCTTGTATTTTCTTTTTATTAGATGGTGGTTCAAGTTTTAAAATTGCATCTATTCTGAGGGTTTCATTGTATTTCTTCAATGATTGTCCGAGAAACTTAACACGGTTGAGAAAAAAACGTGATTAACCTGGAGCTGCTTTTATTTTTTCTTTGAATAGAATTTGGTGATATTTTCTTGTTTTGTTTGTGATTATATGAAAAACATTATTTTAACATTTGATAACAATTTTACTTAGAAGAAGTGATCTAAAAATATTACTCATGATGATGGAAAAAACTGCTGGTCTTATCAAGATGCCATAGAGTAATCTATTAAGTTCATACTGTTGGTTTCCATTGACAAATTGTGTCAAACAGATGATTGTTCATCAGATGGCATTTGGTTATATGCGCAGTTCATATCTGCAGTTAAATAATAATGTCCGCTGATTCTAAGGTGAAGTAATTGTTTTGGTTCTATGGGTGAATTGCATTTTGATTCGTTAATTAGAGGGTTTGGATTTTGTTATATAGAGAGTTTAGATATGGTCCACCTAATACTATCTTAGGAAATTTGCCTTTTGAGACAAAAATGACCGGGTTTTTGGATGTATTCCTTTTAGCTTATTGTTATTTTTTACTAGGGAAATGATTTCATATTTTTCAAGAACATCTAGTAGAAGAACTGGAAAATTCCAAGTTTTTTCTGAAGGTGGGAGTGTTTTTTGTGTTGTATTTTGTTATATATTACTCAATTTTGTTTGATTGTCAGCTATGCGTGGAATGTAATGTTTGGTTGTTTGATCGGTGCTAGATTTGTTAAGATTTGAATTAGGATTTTTTTATAATGGTTAGAAGATTTTAGGAGTTTCGAAAATTGTCCTTTTTTTAACATAATTTCAACTAAAGTACTTTGATGAACTATGCTTTCAGTATATGCTGTTCTGCATATGTAAGAATTTCTAATGTTTCTGTGTTTCCTATTCCTGGTGGGTCTGAAGTCGTTTCGTTTGTAGTTTCTACTTGATTCATTTGTCGTTGAGGTTTATGTGTACTACTTGTATAGTTATTCTAAGGAGAAGTAATTGTTTTGGTTCTATGGGTGAATTGCATTTTGATTCGTTAATTAGAGGGTTTGGATTTTGTTATATGGAGAGTTTAGATATGGTCCACCTAATACTATCTTAGGAAATTCGCCTTTTGAGACAAAAATGACCGGGTTTTTGGATGTATTCCTTTTAGCTTATTGTTCTTTTTTACTAGGGAAATGATTTCATATTTTTCAAGAACATCTAGTATTTGCAAACTGTTCAAAGTCTTTTTGAATTATTTGAGTGTTGGAAGTCAAACATTGTTAGGAAAATGGAGTTGTTTGTTTGGATATTTCGAAATTTCAAAAGCAGGTATGAATTAGGGGTTTCCGTATACTTTTTAGATTTTCTTTTTGAATCACTTGTGATATTTTTAATAGATCATTCATCGTTTAGTTTTGTAGATTGAAAAAGATTTGGGAGACCTAAAATTATATAAAATATTTAAAGTTTTTCTTGAATATGGTATAATGTTGCGTTGGTTTCGCAATGTGCTATTAGTCCTGAGAAAATTAAAAAATTGTATGGTGAATTGTTGCATATATAAAAAGCAATCCATTACGCCGATATCTGTATTTTTCAAAAAAATAATTGAGTGAAATTGTTACTCTGAAATATTTATGACTTTGAGGGATGAGGTCAGACATGTATACCTTTTGATTGTTTTAATCATTTTTATACTGTTGGACTTGGTTGATTGAATAATCATATGCACGTCCAGTTAATGGTTTCAATTGTTTTTGTTGATGGTTGTAAATAGAAATAATTTTTCAAAAGATTGAGGGTTTTTATTAAGTCTTTGGACAAATGTTACAAAGGTATATTTTTTTTGTATTCATCTTTGGTTTGTAATTTTTATTTACAATACTAATTGTTGGTATAGAATTAATAACTAACTAAAGGAAATCTTATTACATTCTGTTTACTATCTGTAATTTTAAATATTCTGTTAAAGGCTTCCGTTAAAAGTTTACTTTGTTCCATCATTCAAGTTGGTATTAGGAATATTTCAATTTTGACATAGTTTGTTAAGCTTGTGCCTCGTGATGTGGATGGTTGCTTGAAGTTTTGGAAAGTGGTAGTTTGGGATGTAATCAATGGATTTCATTCCTTGTATTAAGGTTATTAATATTTGATTCTGCTCCTGAACCTATTAAAAAATCTATTTCACTGTCTGGTGGTTGAAAAATTTTACTTTTTGGTCTTTTTAGAAGAACTGGAAAATTCCAAGTTTTTTCTGAAGGTGGGAGTGTTCTTTGTATTGTATTTTGTTATATATTACTCATTTTTGTTTGATTGTCAGCTATGCGTGGAATGTAATGTTTGGTTGTTTGATCGGTGCTAGATTTGTTAAGATTTGAATTAGGATTTTTTTATAATGCTTAGAAGATTTTAGCAGTTTCGAAAATTGTCCTTTTTTTAACATAATTTCAACTAAAGTACTTTGATGAACTATGCTTTCAGTATATGCTGTTCTGCATATGTATGAATTTCTAATGTTTCTGTGTTTTCTATTCCTGGTGGGTCTGAAGTCGTTTCGTTTGTAGTTTCTACTTGATTCATTTGTCGTTGAGGTTTATGTGTACTACTTGTATAGTTATTAGACTGTTCCTATCTGAATATTGTTATTCAGTTCGATGCGGTGGTTGGGAATATATTTGTGATCTATTTTGTTAGCTATGTTTTCTAGGTCCATATTTATTAGAAATTTGACGAGATCTGATGTTGTAAATTATATATATTGTAAGTTTATTGTTTGGGTAGTTCCGGTATCTTTTCTTTGAATAACTTCTATTGCATTTATTTGAAAAAAAATCTATTACGGTCGTATGAAAAGTTTCTTGAACAATCTTTTCAACAACATCGGTTTCTGTTAATTGAGTATGATCGATTTCTATTGTAGTTGGAGAAATTACTTCTACAAGATATAGATCTCGAAGATTAAATTCTGTACGGATTGTTTCAAGTATTTGATCGACTTTATCAGTTATGTGAAAAACACTGTGAATTTCGTCTGGTGATCGTCCACGAAAATTGTTGAAATTTGGTGATTACTATAACTAGGTGGGAGTGGTTGCCCTGAAATGTAATTAATTTGAATAGCTTTGTTTGGTAAGTTTTCATCTTTCCTCATGTATTACTAACAAAAATTAATCGGTTCTTTATGTTTTTGAGGGCGGTCTGATTTATGTTGTTGTTTTTCTGCCTTCGATAATAATATGTCCGTTTACATCATTTTTTAAATGAGAGGGTTCTTTCTCTAAAATTTGAGTTCTTGTTGCGTAAATTTAGGATATGAGAGATTTTTTATGCTAAATTGTTATCGGAGTCTTGAATTTTAACTATCTGTGACGTAATTCTCTGAATTTTAGTGAAATAAAGTAAATTTAAATTTTCTGTTTCTTCTAGTTTCCTTGTGATTTCAGCTGCTTGCTCTAATTTACCAACGAGTTTTGAATATACAATTTTTTTTTGAGCTGCGCCTTCGACTGTGGTTTGTATAATTGCTGTACTTCTATGAACCCGATTTTGGTAAAGTGGTGCTTTTAGAGGTTATGTGCCTATAAATGCAACAGCGTTCAGGTAATTTTCTTTTGAGGTAAATTTGTGGTAAAGTTTGTAA